TTGGATGAACCAACGATGGCTGTGAACGGAACGTATAAAAGATCCCCTGGCTGAGCGACAGAGTAGTGGGTTAGATACCACTTGGTGATTCCTTGTACGTTGTGTAGATTCGTGGTATCTGCGGGAAGGAGTGCTGTTAGGTCGGTATCAGGGTTCGAGAAGACCGATCCCCAGATATACACGTCGGCTTCGGGTGAAAGGGATAAGTATGATAGGAACCTGGACACAGTAGAGGTGGTCGGCCATGCTCCCAAGCTCACTTCACGCAAATGGGGCAAGCGCACGACGCGGTCTGTAGAAGGCACTATATCCGTGTTAGCAGAAAGTGTTGGACCGGCGCGTACCAGTGCCAGCTTCTCGAGCATAGGTGAGTTTTGAAGAAAATCGAGGAACCCGAGTGTGGTGGGGCGACTGAAGGCTTGGTCTGATAGGGAAAGGGAGGTAAGATTGTGGAAATAGGTTGTAGGCCAGATTGTAAAATGCTCTAAGGTTAATTCCTTGAGGGAATGCATCTCTCCAGCGAATATTGGAGGTAGTATGCCGTTGGTCACGTCTTTCCCGTCTGTACGGAGGGTCAAGCTGACTAGATTCGGTGCAGGATCCACAAAGTGGGTATATATCGGCGTAGAGGTATCTTCCCAGAGATCAGCAATGACGTGAAGCTCCCTGAACCGCGCGACATGTTTCAACAGCGTCTCAAGAGATTTTATCCGAATCTTCGTCTCTTTGATACCGAGATACACTGTCAACGGGGCCGCTCCAGACCGGCACAAGTATCGCTCGTGGGCTACAAGATTCTTGTGCGTCTTGTTGTTCTCATCTTCCAAGTCAATTAATGTGTTGTCTATTGTCGACCACAACGTCGGTGAACGAGCGATGATTCCGCGCCAGTGACGACAGACGTGCAGAAGGGAATACCACTCTCTCCCGTGATCCTCATATGCGGTGAGATCGGGAAGAAAGCTTGGGAGATTCATTTGAGCGCCAGAAACGATATTGAAGAGAAGTTCAGGGGGTAGTTGATTAATTTTCTGGGATGCATTTCGACAACCTCGTACAGCGGAAGACGCTATTTGAAGCTTTCGATCAAGACTATCAAGCTTGTGACAAGTTGTCTTCATCAGTAGAGAGTAGGAACAAAGGGAATAGGACACATACCTCTGATTCTGGTAATTCAACAAGCCTGGTAACCTTTGGGTAAGCGGGATCAAATTTACAGCTTTGGGGGAAGAGGAAGACTCACTGGTTTTTTGCATACTTGCATTTGTACAAAAGTGCGTTTACGAGCTGTTTGAAGCTTAAATTGATCCCTGGTGGATGTTGTGATGTGTTCATATCTGTTACCATGTATGACTAAGAGGTTGGGGACATGAAAGTAAGAGCGAGAGAAGCGATAATCTACTTGATGAATTACGCCTTGACATGTGATCAAAAGAAGAGTTGTTGATGGCGTAGTGGAACGGTTGGTGGACTTTGCGGTAAGATAATAAACATTCTTCGAAGATTGATGATAGAAATAAGCACGGGATCTCATTGTTCGCAGACAAAGAGAAAGTATATACAACTGTGGAACACATTTCCGAGAGAGATAGGTGACGAGCTTGGCCTTGCATACCAGCGGCCGGAGGGAGGCGATATTTGTTCGTCCGCCAGAAGGTACTCAACGCTGCCAAAAAAAAAAGAGAAAGTGTCTACACGTAGTGGTTCGTTGGTAGAAAAAAGCCTGGGGAACTTTGGGAAAGCCTTCTGACATCTTTATCTTCAACAAGGAGCATGTTGAGAAAAGATGATGAACACGTATTAACAGGTTTAACAACAAGATGCGGTACTTTGCCCCTTTGAAAATTGCATCCAGGATGGAATGAAAACACGCGACTCGTCAGGATTATTCTCGTGAACTTGACGAATATCACTAACTGCCTGCCGACCTCAATCGTCCTCCAGAAATCATTGATTTATCTGCGGTTCCGCTGATTCCCAACCTTCAACAACCGTCCCTACCTGTAATGTGAACTCGACCAACTCCGTCCTCAAACCCACGAAGAACTTCGACCATTTCTCCAGATCATTCACATCTTCTTTGGTGGGTGAAGCATAAGCATCGTGGACCTTTTGTAGCGCCTCATAAGCTTGAAAAACTTCCGAATGGGAAGACCTTAGTGAGGACGTTGGTGTAATGCCATTCATAGTCTTCATGATTTGTTCCGTTATCTTGAGCACACCAGCCCGTCCTCTTGCAACGGCAGAATCTTCGGGGACTGAGGCTGATTGGAAAATCTATCAGTTTCGTGAGTATAAGTGCAAGATCCAAATGTCCTGAATGCGAACTGCAGCAAAAGTCTCCGCTTCCGTTGGTGGTCGTGCCGCTAGATACATGATGATCTGATTAGCCAACAAATAAGCACGCCAGAAACTCTCTTGGTCTTGCTCCGGAGGAATTGGTGGAAGGGAATCAGACGAGTCTGCCATCATTTCCAATGCTTGCAGTAGTTTCTCCGGAGAGAAAGAGACTTCTGTGCTGGTGCTCGATGGTGTTTTCGTGGAATAGCTTCGTGGTATACATCGTAAACTACTGAAAACTATATTCGTCAGATCTAAAGATTGTAACATTGTTTGATGCGCTATACCACTCAAGACGCGTTTCTCGTTCCGAAAAGAATGGAATATAAATGGAAGATGACCCAAAGGTCGTCTGGCGAAGCTTCGAGTTCCAGCACGAACAAAGCGAAGTAACATGGTAGTTCGGAGCAAAGAGGCTTTTTCCCACAGCTACTTTGTGTCCACTAGACTACCCACACAGCCTGTTGAACATTCAACATTGGACTTGAATGTCTTCGAGTGCAACTTCGTCTTTACCACCCTCTCGACACGAAAGACCGTCCTCTAGATCTTCTGGCCGCTCAGTACGTGCTCCCAGTCCTGCACTCTCTCTTGACGATCCAGGCTAGTACAATTTCCATTTTGCACCGCATTCATTAGCCTGATACACAATACCCCAGTCGCTGTACGAAACCAAGTGGCAACGCTGAAACACAATATCCGACATCAACAAGCCCAAGTCACTGACTTGGAGAATCATATCCTCCGCGGCCCACGTCCTTACTCTAATTTATCCGATTCAATGTCAACTTCAACGTCCAATCTTAATTCTCCTCCGCCTTCATCTTATTCTAATCGCTCTCCGACACCATCTGGATCTTCACCAACCAAAGTGGCAAGAAGGACGAGCTTCGAAGTCCTGCAAGGAATAGCTGGTCCAGACTCTAGTTTACCGTTACCCATGACAGGCAGACGCGAGCTCGGTCATAGCGTGAACGGTAGTTTGAATGAGAACGGGATCAAGGAAGGCGTGCCGATGACTAGTCCCACATCATACAAACGAGTGTCGAGCCCAACCCGCACTTTAAGTCGTATGTATCTTCATACTCATAAAGATTTAACTCAATGAACTCTTCACAGGAATACCAGTAGCGTCTGTAGGTGTGTTAAAATTCTGTCTATCATTCGACTTTCTGTCCTAATCTATATACTTATACGATATCCTGACCTCTCAGGTAATGCGCGAGCTCTGGCAGAGGAAGGAGCAGTTGCGCCTTCTATCAGCTCTTCCTCCCTTCTCCACTCTACATCCATCGAAACATTCTTAACGTCACCCACTCTACCTTCACTCCAGCTACCTCCATCACCAAGTGCGACAAGTTCGAACTCGAATCGACGAGTGTCACTCACGCCTGGAGGTACAACCAAAGTACTAGCAGATCTCCAAACCGGTGTGATAAATGCGCGGAACGCGTTGGAGAATACAAAAACTCAGTTGAGATTGAGCCAGCGGAGTGTGGCTACGCTGACGAGACAGACGGAAGATCTAAAAGAGGGAAGAGAGAGGTTGAGGTTGGAGAACGAGGGGTTGAATAATGTGGTAGCAAGGAAGGAGAGACTATTACAGGAAGTCCGTATCCTTTGTCCCGATCAATGATTTATGTTCTGAGTCCTTCTCCAGGTCCTCGAACGCGCACGAAAAGCCGAAGCCGAAGCCACTCAGCTCCGTTCCCAACTCAAATCCGAAACCTCCCAATCCAAGAAGAGCTTACGAGAAATGGAAACTGCTCTCGCCGAATCCACAGCCCTATCACAGAAATCCGAACGAGAATACATTACACTCCGGGAGAGCCTGAAACATCTAACAGAATCGTGGAAAGCCGATACTGATCGTCTACGAGACGAGATTCGTAAACGGGAAGAGAGATTGAAGGGAGAGGCGGAAGTTATGAGTAAGAAGTATCGGAAACTTGTCGAGGAGGTGCAGGCCAGTCGGAAGTGCGAAGAGGACGTGAAAAGGTTGAGGGAAGAGGATAAGAAGAAGGCGAAGGAGATTGAGGATAGATGGACAGAAGAGATTGATAAAATGAAGAAGGCTGTTGAGAAGACTGGGAAGGATAGTCAGGCTGATAGCGAAACTGCCAGGTAAGTCTCCTTCCTCCAACTCAAGACTTGTCTGATACCGATCTGTAATGATGTGCGATGGACAGAGAACTCAGCGCTGAGCTTGCACGTTTACGACGGTTAATGCAGAACGCAGGTAGAGTATTAGCTAACGATGAGCCGTGATTTTATTGAATACCCCTTCTTGATTTTATTGCTGATGCCACCGCATTCAAATTATTGACTGTATATGCATGCATATTGTTTCACTTTCGCATTATTCTTACACTCACTATCCGCAAGTCATCCTTACCACTATATTTGCATCTCATGCGGCATGCAATTTACTACGTACATTCACCACGATCGTTACCTTTCCCGCCGCCAATACAAACACTGCTATCGTGCTACTTGCCTATTCTACATAACAGGAACAGGAGCAGGAGCTCTTACTCGTTGAGGATCCTACCGTACGCAGCAGATACCACAGTCCTGCATGCCTGTCAATAATCATTGATAGTTCCACTTCCACGCTGCAAACAGTTATATGGAAAAAAAAATTAATACCATTGACCACTAGCCCACCGCGAGGGTTGAACTCGCAGCCTTCAGATTTGACGATTATTTGGAATAAAAGTCTGACGCTCTATCCGATTGAGCTAGGCGGGCAATAAATATTAATTTAACTTGCATAACTCATTTAAATTTCACTGGCAACCTCTAACTCTTTTTTCATACGCCCCGCGTTTGTGGCGAAACTTGGTCAGAAGAAGACTATCTGCCTTCATCTAAACCACCTCGGGAAGCAAGCTTTTGGTTCAATGGATGGAATACAGCACAACTGAGTGTGAGCAGCTGGCCAATCGTGATATTGAAACCACCGTTAATTTTGCTTCAGCATTTTAAATCCCTTGGAACCCGCAAAGAAGTTGTGCGCCTTCATATTGCTGGGTAGCCTGGCTGTACTAAAGTACACCTTTGAAGTCAGTACGTACCGATAATCACGTCCAGATTTCGCTGTACACTCTCAATCCTCCTCAGTGTTGTGCGTTCAGTGCGCGTCATTGTCATTGAGCGATCCAACAAGATTCTATATGATCCCTGAAGGAAGATACTCTTTAGGCAAGTTTGCACTTGGAAAGAGACCTTGGTGACGCGTCTCTCCCTCATATACGAACAATACTGTCGCCCCAAGACCATGAACCGGCACAAACACCGCAAGCCGATTGCTGGAAATCCTCTGGACTTTCTTGTGAGATACCTTCCGTCTGGGATGACCGGACTCGTAATCCTAAAGCATTTTCAGGTTTCCCAACTGAATACTCCTTCTCCGTGCATCTCTGTATATCAGTAATCTCGTGTGTTGGATGATCCTCTGGTGCGGATCGTTATAAAGCACGGTCCCCCAACGGAGGCGATCCTACGGGATGTGCATCAGTGTTGGACTGATGTGGAAAACCAGTATGCACCGAAAATTCCCGAATCCTGCTCATCGTCTGCCCAATCGAATTAGGGTGAGGGCTGCATATCATTGTTGTGCTGGCTTTCCAATCCCTCAAACAGCCCCCCTATGAGTATCAACTTGCCCATTCGTCGCGCAAGCTAATCGCGAAATCCAAAATGGACTAGGGACATGCCGATAGTGGAGATGCGGCCACACCCTTGTCCCTTGAGCTCTACTATGTTATATCACTGAGGTTTTATCTGCTCACCCATCGCTTCTTGTCTCACTCTCGACAATAGAAGGGTCTAGTCTAGTGCGGAGATACCATATCCAACGTACAGCGGCTTTGAGCGTTCTGCTTTATTCTGTGCTATTCTTCACCATTCGTTATGCGTGGACAGTCGGTCCCTGCTTATTTCTGCAGTGATATTCCCAGGATTTGACCTCGCTGGCCGTGGAGCCTTGATTCGCCCGACTTAGAATGTCCGTGGTTCATCGCCAGAGATAAACGACTATGCGCTATTGTTGGGGGTTCCTCCGGTCTTCTGTATACCTTGAAGACGCCTTCTGTATACCTTGAAGACGCCTTCTGCTCTCACGGAGGCCGTCGCCCGTGTCCCCAATTTTTGTGGCCCGGTTTTGAGCTCGAGGTGTCACCAGCCTCAGTATCAATTCCGAGGCAAGGATACAAAGGCGAAAGAGGGTGAAGAAACAGCCTCCAAAGAATTCATGCTGAATCTTTTGTTTGGCAAGCCAGAATACATATGCTCAGGGTCTCCTGCGAAGTCGCCAGTCGTAGTTTAGACGAGGAACTTGTCAAGGGAGTCCAAAGCTAGCGCGAAGTGGCAGTTGAGCGCTATGTCAAATATGTGAACCCGATGACCATGATTTCACTCTTGTTTTGCTGACCAGTTGCTGGAAATAGAGAACAATAGAAATTTCCGGTTCTATGCAAAATAATTTGTTCATGCCCTCGTGTTATGGATCCCTTGCGAAAATAACGGTCAAGCCCGATCTTCATGATTTTTTCAATAACGGACAATGAACTCCTTCGACTCGAGCGTTCAGTGGGTGAGGGTCTGAGAGGTCAAAGCATTGAGCGAAATGACCTTTGACAACCAAGCTTAGAGATCTGATAAAGGACATTTGGAACAATGATCAATTTTTCTCACTTTTGTGTCAAAAAAATTGGGCCACTCGTGGAACAAACAGATAAAAGCAAGTTGATTCTCCTTTACATGCAAATTGTTCGAGCATCCGTAAACAGTATCTTTTCTTTCGGAGGCGTACCCGGAAGACGCTAGGCAGTTTTTGCTCCTTGTTTTCTTTCTTCTTCCTTTTTCTGCACAACAATCTGCCCTCGAACCCCTCAAATTGAAAGTTTCCCTCCACTTTTTTCCCTTGCTATGCCCCGTGCGACGACGGTGAGTATTATCTCAATATTTTCTTGTATTCAATTGAGCAAACTCATGCAACACATAGACTGCCACCACTGGCGGCTGCGAGTGTCCTGAATGTCACAAAATTTTTGCACGCAAAAGCGACCTCTCCAGGCATACCCGAACCCATCTGGACCCGATAACGAAAAATCAACTGTACGCCACATATCAAGTGCACTCCCTTTCGATCATGGATACACTAAGTGTTGGTTTGATTTTCTATAGATCGTACAAATGCCCGTACCCCGGCTGTAAATTTGCGAACCTACAGAAATCTAACGTCGAAACGCATTTGAGGACGCAGTGAGTGTTTATTATAATCACTTCGATGTGCTCGCGAGCTTAAATAAAATGACAGCACCAACGAGAAGAGCATTGTGTGTCCGGAATTCGAGATGTGTGGGTACGCAACCAACGATCCTGCTGCGCTGACCCGCCATCGGAAACGACGCCATGATTACGTTCCGAGACCCAGGAAGCGCCGTGCCATAGCTCTCGAACCGACTCCCAGTGGACCCGGATCTTCCACCGAATATTCTATGACTAGCCCCGAGCCTGAGATCAACGGCGAGGTTAATACTGAATCGATTGCCACTGCAGCAGCTATGAATGTCAATTCCAGCGTTACGGCCACTTTTACCACTCCTGCGCCGCTGGCTTTTCCCGTCTTCACCCCTATGGTTCCATATAACCCGGACTTGAATATCTACACATTGCTTCGGCCTTCATTGTCCTGCAAAACGGGCTCTGAGATATTCGATCTCGTCGATAATTCCTACACTAACAAATTCTTCTGGGGACTGGGACCCCTCCCGAGTCGCTCACTGGAACCAAAAGTCCTTTCCCCGGCCTATGAGAGTGCTCTCTCTTTGCATACCACTCTTCCCAAAGTCTCGTCAAAGCTGGACCTCAATATGCCTATTTTTCTTGTCCCAGCTGGCAGTTCTACCTTTATTGGAGAGTTGTATTTTCCCAAGCCTTTGATGCCCACGACAATCACTGTCATAGCCTTTTTCTGGTTCTGGTTATGGGGGCGAGTTATGACGATGATTTCGCGTTTCTTTGGATCAGGTACAACACAGGTTGAGCTGACCTACGATACAACGTCAGCCTTCATTATTGCTCATCTGGAAGATGAGCAAACTCTGAACGATAACTTCACTGTCGTTGAGCAAAACGATTCCTTATTGAAAGGCCAGCGCACACGACTTCCGAAGTTATCATTCAAGCCTCTTCCGGAAAAGTCCTAAATGTTTTTACGCCAATGCCATTAAATATCCTATATGCCATTGTGGTGTACCGATGCTCAGTTGTATCTATGCATCAACCACTGGTTTTTCTTTTCTTTTGTGCTGTATGTTAGCTTTGTAGAAACCGATGCTTCCTGTTGTATACCAATGAAGATCCTTTAAGATTCTTGTGTCAGTTGTCTTTTTGTACGTATGCGGTGAATGCATCCTTGTTGTAAGTCGGCTTTCGACTGCTGTGAAGTATAGTCAGTAATAAACACAGATCATGATGTGGCTTCTCTCTCTTTTCAGTTTGGTAGCAGCTAGCTATCCGGAAGCTCATCGTCTCTTTTCTTCTTCCTAGATTCCAGGAGCTCGGATGAATGGCATTGCTGGGGTCTACTTGTAGACGCAGTTTACCCAATGGATAAATTGGAATGGCTAACTGATTCGGTCTGAAAAAAATTCGCGCACTACGGTGTATCTCTTTCTTGACAATTTTGTGTTTATATACCAAATACTACTGTTTCTTCATGCTCATCATTGTTGACCTTTTGTTTCGATTCTTTGGATTGCCTTCACAAATAAAAACAATCAAAATATATAAAAGTACTAATTCATTCATTTTGGTGGCCAAAGCCTCTTCTAGTGATATCCGAATGATGACAACCATACTAATCTGGTTCCCGAGGATCACTGATTTGCTAGTAGTATCATAGTAGCCTCAAGCTGGCTCGGTAAAGTAGGAGATTTGCCGGGATCCAACATAGTCTATAGCTCGAAGCATTTGGAAAGTACATATTCAACCATCCTAGGCTATCGACTATTGCACAAGCTGGTGCACCTTCCAGAAATTGTGAAATGTCTTCGCTATGACTATTAGTAGATAATAGCCAGAAGCGGACGGCATAATCACCAGACCTAGATATCACACCAAGAGAGTTCGTTGTGAATTCCAGCCACTGCGTCCAAAGTATGTCTTTAATTTCTCCCCAGCAGCCATATGATGATTACGCCACCATCTGGAGGACAGAAACTGCCCATCCCAGGGCCAAGCAACAAACGTTATCCAAGTTGTATGCTCGTACATAAGCTCAATTTCCCTGCCTATATTTGCATCCCAAATCCGGATAATACTGTCAATACTACCGGTGACAACTCTGCTACCATCTGGGGAGTAAGAGAGAGGCATAACACTTCTCCAAAATGATTGCATATCCATAGACCAATTTGATTCTTGATGTTCCAGATTCGCATTGTATTATCGTCACCACCCGCACCGGAAGCGATGTGATTCTGAATAGGAGAAAATGCAACGGTGAGTACTGAAATGTGTGGCCTTTCAATTGAGTCCCTCTTGTATTTCATAGTAGATTGAATGGTCGGCACTGGACGCAATCCGAGACCCATCTACATCGATGCAAACGCAGACTGCGTGTGAGCCAGATGGACGGTTTAACATATTAACGAGAACACCGTTATCCATATTCCACACCCGTACGGTGCTGTAGGAGGATGAGACAATATATTGCCTGTCCTGCGATAATGCAAAAGATG